GGAGGAGGAGGAGGAGGAGGAGCTCCAAATCAAAGAACCACGCCCGGATCGAAAGAATCAGCTCGTCGGAGATCTGGGCACTCCGAGGTCCGAGCCGTCGCCGGCCTCGCCCGAAGAGCAAGCGCGGGGGAGGAGGGGGAGGGGGAGGAGGAGGGGGAGGGGGCGGGCGAGGAGGGAGGGGGAGGGGGAGGATGCGGGGGAGGAGGAGGCACACACACCGAGCAGGAGGACGGAGGAGGAGGACGGCGGAGAAGGTGCGGGAGAAGGCATAGGAGGACGTAACACAAGAGGCGGGTGGAGGAGGACAGCGGAGGAGGAGGGAAGGAGGAGACGGAAGAGGAGGAAGAAGGAGGGGGAGTGGGAGGGGAGAGGTAGGAGAGAGCGGCACAGAGATGGAGGAGGAGGAGGGGGAGGAGGAGGAGGAGGAGGACGGAGGAGGAGGAGGAGTAGGAGCACAGGAGGAGGCGGAGGGAGGAGGAGTAGGAGGAGGAGGAGGAGGAGGAAGAGGAGGAGGAGGAGGAGGAGAAGGAGGAGGAGGAGAAGGAGGGGGAGGATGAGGAGGAGGAGAGGAGAACGAGGAGGCCACGTGGCCCCAGCGCGCGCGGAGCGCCTCGAGCGCCGTGCGGTAGGCCAACTCCGCGGCACCCACCGACGCGTCCGACAGGCGGGCCAGCCGCTGCGCCGCGGCGTCCACCGCGCCCGAGTAGTTCGCGAGGAACCTGAGGGGAAGCGTTCGTTGGGGACGTCTCGGATTTGAGGCCCGAGGTTGCCTGCCTCGTCGATTCGGCCTTCTGCCTCTCCGCCGACTCTCGTCGATCCTCCAGCCTCGGGCTGCTCCCCAGCAGCTGCGCCTCGCCCCGGGGGGGGCCTTGGAGAGCCCGGACAGGCCGCCGGGGGCCCGAGCTGTGGCCCGAACACCAACAGTAAGTCGGGCCTGTGCCCCTACCGGGGGATTTTCGACGAAAAATAAGAAGTACCCCCCAAAATAATCAAACCATAGTCCAAACAAGATGGGGACTGTTTGGGGGGAATGTTTCAACCTGTCTGGGGTACTTTTGGGGTATGTTCTATTTCTCGTCGAAAATCCCCCTGTAGGGGGACACGCCCGACATAAAAACAACCGGGGACCGGCTCAGGGGGGGAAACATCGAGATGGAATCGCGGCGATACATCCGACAGATCGGCGGCAGGCCCCCGGCAGCAAGTCCGCACGCTCCCGGGCGCGGCGCGCCGTCGGGCCCCGCACCGGCGATCCGCGGGCGGTTGGGGGTCGATTCGCACCCCCTGCCGATGCTGCGGCTCTTAGGCTCCGTCTCGTCGGTTAGGTCGGGCACGTCCTCCTACAGGAGGAGTTTTGACGAAAAATAAAACATAGACCAAAATGTTCAAAAACAGCCAGAACCTCGTCCCCGGAGTACTTTGTTGACTGCTTTTGAATGTTCCTCCTGTAGAGGGACAGGCCCGACTTAACTCTTCGGGGGGGGGACCCTGGAGCCCGTTCCATCTGATTCGCGATGACGCCCGTCGCCGGCCCCACCCTCCCCCCGCTCTCCCCCCTGGCCACGCCACGGTTCGCGCCAGCGCCGTCTGGGAATTAGCCATTCCGAAGCATTCCCACACGGCGCCGGCGCGAATCGCGACGCGACCAGCCCCCTCGACCCCTCCAACCCCCTCTCCATCACGCCCGGTGTCGCCAGGGGGTGAAAGAACGGTCTCATGGTGGCCATGGCCGCAAGCACTCCACATGCAGCCAACATCCACGAGCTGCTCGCCGCGGCCAGTGTCCGCCGTAGCGCCGCCGGCCACGAGCAGCGCGGGCCCACTAGAGGCCTCCCTGATGGGGTCCGAGTAGATGGGGTTGGAGGATCGCGCCGCATCGCCAATGCATGGCCGATGCATCGCCGATGCACCGCCGATGCATCGCCGATGCATTGGCGATGCACCGGCGACGCCGGCGATGCATCCACGACGTCGGCGTGGAGAAAATCGGGATCCGCATCGAGACGCACCGCCGATGCATCGGCGACGCGGCGCGATCCTCCGACCTATCTACCCCGACCCCGTCTGGGAGGCCTAGACCGACAGAGAAACAAAGATCACAAAGCCCCGGGAACATCTTTTCATGACAGACGCTCGGGGGGAGGGAGGAGGAGGAGGAGGAGGAGGAGGCGGAGGAGGAGGAGGAGGAGGGGGAGGAGGAGTAGGAGGCGGAGGAGGAGGCGAGGAGGAGGCCGGGGGAGGAGGAGGAGGAGAGGAGGAGGAGGGAGGAGGAGGAGGGGGGAGGGGAGGAGGAGGAGGAGGAGGAGGAGGAGGAGGAGAGGAGGAAGGGAGGAGGAGAGGAGAGGAGGAGGAGGAGGTGGATGGGGCGGAGGAGGAGGAGAGGAGGAGGATTTGAGGAGGAGGAGGAGGAGGAGGCAGGAGGAGGACGGAGGGAAAGAGGAGGAGGAGGAGGAGGAAGAGGAGGAGGGAGGAGGAGGAGGAGGAAAGGGAGGGGGGGAGG